AACCATCTCTGCTGAAAATGAGGACAAATACATGGAACAATTGCTCAAAATATAGGGGGCATTTCAAACATAAAAATGTTGTCACACTTTGATGCTCAGCACAGATAAATAAATGTCATTATAGAACTATCAGTGTCATAAAGCTTGAACCAAACATTGGATAGCTTCTCACCAAAGACTTAATTCTAAGGGATCACGACCATTTAAGACATAAACATGTACGTACAGAGCCAAAACCAATGTCATATAACTTCAGAATTCCCACAGTCCATGGACAAACAATGCAAAAAGGCATTTAATATGTTCAAAGTAACATCAGCAACAGACTGCAAAGTTCGAAGAGGATTTACCAGAACTGGAGCTTACCAGAAATTGGAATTCCCCCATTCCGTGGAAAATCCCAAAACAAACTCCCCCCCCCACACACACACACACACGACAAACACTCCAAACATTCCAGAATGGCTCAAACCCTAAAATTTCAAGATTTCCAGAAAACAAGAATTCTGAAATTTACTTTTCATCTTTTCTGAAAGGCTCCCAAGTCTCATCAAGTTTTCTGGAGCTCAAGCAGTCTATCAGGTAAGAAGGTGGATCACCCAGAGAGTCTGTGAAGTCTCCAGGCTGCCAAGAGGCCTGGAACCTTACCTCTGGAGAAGTCTAAACTGCATCTGTGAGCAAGCCTCCTGTCTAAGGTACCCAGATTCATGCTAGCAGAGCTGGAGTTAGCATGCTAAAAAAAGCAGTATGACTATTACAGATCCAGTGAAGACTCAGGCTAGCCATCCAAACTCAGAACTGCAGACTATGTCTACACAGCAAAGTATGCCCGGGGTTTGAACTCAAGCTCAGGCCTACTCTCCTCTCACCTCTTCTTTCCACAAACAAACTGTTATTCTTTGGTCGCTCAAGGTATGAATTTCTCTTAATGGGTTGGGAGACTTACTCCTGTCAGGAGTGCAGATTTACCTGACAGACCCTGAGAGTCTTTACTTCCTATGGCCTGTACTATGCAGTGGTCCCTTTTTTGCCTTAGGATATGTCTACCCTCCACGCTTATTTTGAAATAAACTATTCTGAATAGTTACACCAAAATGGTTTGTTTTGAAATATCACATCTACACAGCAGGGAAATCTTAAAATTAATCTGAGGCAGGCTTCCCTAGTGTAGATGTGCTATCTCGATTAAGAGCCCTAGGAGGCACTGGGAAGGAATAACTTAGAATGGCCCTGGTGAGGGGCTATTTCGAAATAGTAGCAGTAGAGTGTCTACACACACCTTATTTTGAAATACTATTTTGGAATAGGCATTATTCCTTGTAAAATGAGGTTTACAGATTTTGGAATAAGCTGTCCGTTATTTTGAAATTATCAAATGGCTGTGTAGATGCTCACATTGTTATTTCAAAATAATGCTAGTTATCTCGAAATAAAGGTGCAGTGTAGATGCACCCTTAGAATCTGTGAAATGACAGTTTGATCATTTTTATCTCTGGTCATATACAGACATCTACAAAAGACAAGGCAGTTCATAGCCACAATCTTTAATCCACCTGCAACTACCTGTACAATATAAAGAAAAGCAGAGTACTATAGGGACTTTTAGAAGTTAGTGAAACAAGCAGAAATAAGGTTCATAAAAATAATAATTCTTGGCAAGCAGACCAGATTACCAAAGAAAATAACCAAGGTATCATATATGCCGATAAAACAAACATAGGACAGTAATGAGGCAGATATTAGCCCTACGACAAAAATCCAGGCTTTCAGGCTAACTGAGCCAAACAGTCTTTTCTGACAATATTTTCAAACGTAAGAAAGAAGATAAAAGTGTGGAAATAAACAGAAAAGTGTGTTTTCCATGTTCTATCTTTGCATTTCTATAGCTGCACTGGAAATTTTCTGTCACTAGATTCCCTGCCTCTCTGTATAGTAACAAGCAAAGTGGCTGGCATGTACCATGTGCTACAGATGGATCAGCAGTGGCATACATCTGGCATGCCAGCTGTGTATTTTTCTACACTATCCTTTTTTTCCCCAGTTTGCAGCCAGCACTTATACCATGCTGCCCTTCTGGGAATATATTCTTCCTTCACAGTACCTTAGTGACACTGGATAAGCAAAAATATTAGCAGGAGTAGCAGCACAAAAAACATGGTCTTCTAAATTATTTTAGTTGCTATTGCAGAACCTGTTGGAGGGATCCCAAAGCTGTAACTTCCTCGAATGCTACTCTTTGATTTTAACATTTCCATTATTTTTTTAAAACTTTGTTCCTGACACGTACCCTTTCACTGTGGGCTGTACAGCTGAAATTTCACTAGTATAATACAGGCAGTCCCCGGACAACCGGGGTGAGGCACCCCCGCACTAGCTACTTCCCCCCAGCAGACTAGGGAGATGCGAAGCTAGCGCGTCCCCCTCCCCCCGCCCAGCAGACCAGGGAGAGGTGGAGCGGCTTTTCTCAGCAGACACTTCAGCTTGAGAATAAAGGGCTGAGGGAAGTGAGGTGTGGGAGAATAAAACTGAGCTCTGGAGAAATGTTTGGCTAGAGTTTCCCCTACAATATGTACCAGTTCCGACTTACATACAAATTCAACTTAAGAACAAACCTACAGTCCCTATCTTGTACGTAACCCGGGGACTGCCTGTATAGTGAAATAAAAAAAGAAAAAATATTTCCTGCCTAATAATTGTGTATCCAGAGAATATAGAAAATAACGTGTTCTACATGCTAACACATTTATTAAATACAAAAAGATGATGCTACAATGCAAGGAATCACACCTATTCTGTGAATTCAAAACAAACCACCATATTTATAAACTTGTCAGAATTCAATTTATATTTGTTATAATTTTGATGGATAATATCAATTATTAGTAAACTTTTTTATTTGGATTAATTTAAAATTACACAGTTGCACAACATTCTGGATTTTAAGCATTTGTTATCACTTTATCAATTTAAATCATCAAAGATGTGGGAAACTATGGAATGGAGAAAGACAATTATTTAATGACAATGGACATTGACATTTAAAATTTTTAAAGCTTTGAAAAACACAAAACCATAAAATGTCAACATCAAAATATACAAAGTATGTACCCCTCAACTGAACTATAATAAATTATAAAACAGCATTTTCCTTACTTTGCCTATCTGTACATTTTTATTAATTTAAAGCTTTTTTTGTCAGTTTGCGAGTGTACGGTGAAGTAGATGTTACCTAATCTTTACTGATTAAAATCCAATCTTTCCAAGTCTATTTTTGTATCAACAGATACAAGAAAAAGTTTGGACCTTTAATTATTTTAAGCACTACCCTTCCTATGTCTTTTGTTTTCAAGCAACAAGAATTATTTGAACCTTCAACAAACCATAATTGAGGTTTATAAAGGCACTTATTGCAGAACAAGTGTATCTCTAGTGTATCAATCATGAGATGAGGACATATGTCTATACAACTTAAGCAAAACCATAATATAATATAGCTCTTATCTCCACTTTGGCATATGTCCCAGATATAAATGTATGTGGCCATTCCAATGTACACCTCTGGTTCATAGAGGCAAAGCCTGTTGCATTAGGTGGATTTTACTTTTTTGCAAACACAGCACTCTGGCTCTACTAGTTACGACTATACTAACTCAATGTGACTCATGGCCTAAATAGATTAAAATCTCACTGATGGATAGATCTCAAAATATAATTGTTAATGGAGAATTGACAATTAGTAGGGATGTTTATAGTGGGGCCCTGCAGGTTTTATTTCTTGGTCCAATATTGTTATCACTGATCTGGAAGAAAATATAGTCATTATTGATGAATTCAGGAGGTGAGTCAAAGATGGTTGGATAGTGAATAATGAGGAGGTCATTATATATATGTGTGTGTGTGTGTGTGTGTGTGTGTGTGTGTGTGTGTGTGTGTGTGTGTGTGTGTGCGCGCGTGTGTGTGTGTGTGTTATTTGTTCTGGCATGATGTGGTAATGCTTTGAGTTGGTGTCCTTTGAGGAGCTAATGTCTGATGATGAGCTTGGAGAGATTGGATGGGTTGTATGAAGTCCAGAAATGAAAAGCAATGAATCCCCACTTCTGGCCTTTAAACAATACTCCACCTCTCCAAGCTCATCACCAGAAGCAGGAAACTCTCTGCTAACTACTTATGCTAAATTATCTATTCCACCTTGCATTTATCTGTGATTCTCACAGTACCTTTCCCAGAACCAAAGAAGAACTTTATATCACTTGAAAGTTTATCTTTCTCACCAACAGAAGTTTGTCCAATAAAAGAAAAAGTAGGTTGCATTCTAATACCTGTAAATGCAAAATGGTGGGAGTCAAGTAGCATAAATATCTTAAGACCTTCTTTTGGGTTCAAATATATTAATAGAAGAAAGCTAAAATATCTGGCATATTGATATTAATGTATTGATGATGTAGAAAAAATACTGAGGAAAATTGTTCATTTGATTTAAGATAATTGTTAAGATTAAAAATCTTTTCATCTGATTAAAAATAAGGTTTCCATTTTAAAAATAATTATGATGAAAAGGACTGAAAACAGGTGCTACTGTTTGTTATTATAAAACTTTACAGTTTTATCTGACTGACAAAAGTCGTAACAATGTTCTGAATTTGAACCTGTGGCCTAATCATCTTTCAATTTCATTTAAATAAACACATCTTTTTTTTTTCTAAACATGTCCAGATTAATTTGTTTTGTCTAAATTTAAAGATTTTAGTAAATAATACGCAAACCTAAATTATTAAATAAATGAGATTGCACTAAAATGAATGTAAATACACATCAACTTAGACCAGAATAAAAATCCATGACTAAATTAACACTGCATCTCATTCATTACACAGTAATTGCTAAATAACTGTAAAATACATGACATAATGTTCATTACCAATGTAATTAGTACAGCTTCTTCTATCCACTTTCATGTACATCCATATTTCCAGAAAAGGAATGCAAATATAATTACTTACCAAAATGGTGGTAACAATTAAAGAGCGATTGGACAGAGAGTCTGTGATGTTTGCTGGTTTTCCTTTCTGATTCTCTGTCATGTTAAGGCCACTTGGTGGATCCCAAGTTCCAATCTATAAAATAACATATGCACATTATAAATTGTCCATCCATTCTCTCAGGCACTTTGCACAGAATACTGTAAAGCAGGGGTGGGGAACCTTTTTTAAACTGGGGGCCGCTGACTCTCAGAAAAATCAGTTAGGGGCCACATACAAGTGAGAAACTACCAAACCCCCTCCTTCCCCCACAACCCTCACTGATCTGGCTTTCAACTGAGGAGATAGACACTCCTCACATTTCCCTCACACAGCAGAGCCTAGGGGGACCAGCCTAGTACATTTTATGTATGCTAGCCTTGCGGTGGGCAGCGAGGTGGGGCTGTAGTGCCAGCAAGGATCCCCAATCCTGAGAGGGCCCTATGCCCCAGGGGCTGGATCCAGGCAAGCTGGGGGCTGTATCTGGTCCCCAAGTCTGAGGTTCCCCACCGCTGCTGAAAAGGAAAAGTTAAGACTGCTAACACTTATTATTCACCTCTACGGCATTATTTGCTATTGTTATATTAAAGTCTGCTTATTTATAGTATGATTCATTTCACTTTGAAGTGTGTCTGGTGAAGTGTGACCTTAAGGGCAAAATATGCAAAAAAATTTTAGTCACTGTATGCTTAAATTCCCATTTAAACTTTCATCTCCAACACAAACCACCTCTGATGATAACTTGATAGCCAAGGGGAAATTGATTTGCGGAACATTCAGTATTCCTTCTCATCGTAGTTAGCATGAGGGCAAAAATATTTTGAGGAAAATACAATGGGGAGAATTCAACTTTTATTAAGTGTGATTGATTTGACAATAAGATACTGTACACATATCTACTAACATTTAGGACCTTCCAGGCCTTATCCCAGAAAAAGTCAATAGCAGTTTTGACTAAGTAAAGAGTTTAGTTTGTGTCTCATGGGGCTGCATTTCTCCACTTTATGGCTATATAATTCCACTAAAATCAATACTTAAACCCAGTGTAAAATTCGAATAACCGAGTGATAAATTTATACCTTGGTATTTCTCTTTAGAGACAAGATTATTTTTTATTCTTTCTCTTATTTTAGTTTATTATGGTACATAAGTCCCCAATCAATACTGACAAAAGAGGGGCAATCCTTCCTGGGGCAGCCTGACAGGCCCTAACATTGTCAGTGTGCAACCTGATGCAGAGACTGTGGAAGCCGAGCTTCTGTACTTGGTGTGATAGTGCAACACCTTGGCGCCTGGTGACCCCTACCTTATTCCCACCCCTCACCTTCTACCTCCCATTATGTTACCACTCCTGAGCTTGTCATTTTCCCTTTTTCAGCGGAGGGAAATTTTCCCATTTCTCACTCCAGCAGGGACTGCTGTACTCCTCCACCTCTCCCCGCTCCACAGGCTACTGTACTCTCAGCATGCTCACGCACACACACACATCTACACACACAACCACTGAGGTCAGGTTTTGTTCAGAAGGGACACTATATATTTCATGTACTTGATGTGAGCTCTCTTCCCCATCACTCATCCTTCTGGGGAAACAAGGTGGAGAGTCTTTAAATCAGAGTAAGAAAGGAACTGGCATGTTTCAGTTTTTTCATGTGAGCATTGAGCATCCCTGGGAAGGAGTAACAATTACAATATTTCCAGTCTCTCAGACCAGAGAGCTGTAATGCAGTGCTTTCCAGTCAGTCGCATGCCACCAGGAAATCGGTCACTAAGGGGTGATCAGAAATTCACAACCCACTGGCTAAGAAAGCACCGGTCATTAAGAACAGTAGGAACTCAGGCAGGGAAAGTAAGCAACAGTTCCCTGCCTCCACTTGCTGCTGCCTCCATTGCTCAGCCACCTATGAAGTGGTTGGCAAAGTTCAGAGAAGATAGGGAAAGCAGTAATAGGTGACTTGTAGAAGGGAACTGATAAGAATAGGGGAGGATAAGATGGGAGCTGGAAAGAGAAGGCTGAGACTAGGAGAGACCTGAGATTGTTAATGCTGTTCCTTTATAAGACTAAGGTGGGTAGTGTTAGATTGGATTAATTTCCATTATGTTTACACAATATTCAGAGATTATCGCTGAAGGAAAATAGTCTATGAATAATGCAGATACAGATATGTAAGGCAATACTTATGTGAATCCTGAAAGTATGCATTATCCATTTCAAATTTTAAATTCAGTAAACCGCATATATTATTTTGTTAAGCCTGTCTACAAATTCTGATACCTATAGGCAATTAAAGTTATTTCCTTCACTGCATTTTTCAGTGTAACATGTTTCTGTTAATCTAACCACATTCACAAATCACTGAGGTTTACAACATTAAAATTTTGGTTTTCCTAGTCTCATAGGCAATTATATTATTTAAAGGAAAATTAATTTGTGTCAAAAAATCCTATTGTTTTCTCTTCATAGCTATACTAACAGTTGCATGTGATAGCATTGTGTTTATTTTTTAAAAACTGTGAATAAAGAGTTTTTAAAACTGAAGGAAAGAGAGAGTCAGACTGTCACAGTTGTGCCATCTTATGCACCATCTCTTTTGCGTAAGCGAAGCTTCAACACATTTTACCATACATGTGCAGACCCTGCTACTGTTTGCAAGTAATGCAGCATGTCTACTAATAGCTATATCTCCATGAAGCAAAGTTACAGTTGAAAATTAACGTTGGCACCAAATCAGCTGCACTCAATTTGTTTAGTGCAAGTATTTTAACTCTCAAGCAGTCTTAAGAACTGAATAGATTTAGTAAAATATTCTCATTGAAAACTAGAAAACAAATAATTTCCTTAAGGCAAAAAATGTAGTGGAATCAAACCAAGTTAATTTATTATGTAAAATTACAATTCAGGCTCTCTAAGGCTGAGTTAGTCTGTAACAGGAAAAACTTAAAAACCAACAAATAGTTTAGTAGCACTTTATAGACTAACAAAAAATACTGTCTATATGTTTTGTTTGTCTTTAAGGTGATAATGAAACTGAAAGATGATCAGAAGTCTCCTAAAAATATTCACTGCATTATCCAAAATACAGAGCTCAGCAAATACCATAAGATACGGTCTTGTAATAGCAATTCACATTTTAAAATGAATTAGCTTAATTTGTGCTCAATCATCTTGTGTTCGCTTTCCACAAAAATTAAAGTAACCAAATTTACTCCCACAAATGTTCATGGAAAGAATTTCAGATGTGAACAAATTACTGTATTTACTTTGCACAAGTATTAGTGCCAGACAAAACTCATAACACTATCTCAAACATTACCAGAACTTGCAAAGGGTGAAAGTCACAGGTATAGAGAATAAAATCACTGTGCAAAGGAGAGCTCAGAGATACTGTAGTATTCTAATATAAAGTATCTGGAGAAATGAAGTGATTTAGCTTAGTTCTTTTGAAAGCTCCAGAACAGCCTCAACAAATCTGCTGAAAAATGTTTAAAGTGCTCTTTTTCTTTTACCACATATCATGTTGTAAAGATTTGCTTTTAGTCCTGTCTATAGCAATCTGCCAAAATTATTTCTGAAAAAATTCTATTCCACTTTCTGAGGAAACGTATAACGATTAGTCCTGCAATACCTTGGAAACTAACAAAAAATGTAGATGGTATCATGAATTTTGGTGGGCACAACCCACTTCTTCAGATGAATTGAGTTTAGAAATCAAGTTTTTAACCTTCTCTTGAACAACCTCATATTCCTTCTGAAGCTACTATATTTGCCAGGAACTATATGATTTAATACAAATCCTAAGACTCTGTGGGTGTGTCTGCACTGCAGGGCTTAACTCAAAATAAGCTATGCTAATTAAGCTACGTCAACTGCATATCTTATTTCGAAATAGGGAGCATCTACACAGCACTTATTTCATAATAGTGCATTCTTCTTCCAACTTCTCTTATTCCTTATACAATGAAGGTTACAGGAGTTGGAGTAAGAAGTCCTCCAACTTGACAGTATGTTGACACTATTTCAAAATAAGTTCCTGCTGTGTAGACATGGACTAAGTTATTTCAAAATATTGCTAGTTATTTTGAAATAGTGTTGCAGTGTATTGTACTCAACTTGAAGCTGATCCTGGCTGAATTCATGTCTAGATCAGGGAGGAGTTTACTGTATGCCAGTCAAATGAGATTTTACCCACAGATATTTAACAACATAAATTATATGCAATTTATCACCTGTTTATACAGGTGAAAATATCATTTTTATTAATAACCAAATGCTCTTTGGCTGTTGTTTTCAGAATTACCCTAAAAATGTTGACTTTTTCTGGCAGTGAGGTGCCCAAGCTTACATGTGCTATTCTAGATGTGGTGTCTTTGAATAGCTATGTCAGAAAAAGGACAGGAGACATTTGGCATGGGTTTAATAAGACTGTAACTTATTATTAGATATATGGATTACCTAGGAGATAACAATGTACAGTACAGATAACCTCATGCTTATCCTGTAATTATCTGAGGGGCTTTTACCAGCTTCTCCTCTTTTTCCATCCATATCCATCAGGCAAATCCATTGCTGGGATCATTCTAACTCCCTCTCTTTTTCTTTCCAGGTCCCTCCAACAAATTTAGTATCCAGGACCTTACCATCCACCCCCACCTCAAAGGAGGGTTAATGTGGGCTATAATAATGAAGGTGATCTCTCCCTGCCATACAAACTGTAAAAGTCCCCATTCATTCCTTTAATAAACACCTCTTTTTAAGCCACCACCCTGCCGTCATCCATCCATAAAGCATTCATCCATCCCCCCACTTCAAGATGCAGGATGGTCATTAGTGTTGCATGAAGAGGGATCAACACGTCTGTGATTTGTACTGCGAATCTTTCAAATGTGCAGCTAAAATCACATTGGCTTTTCAACCCATAACACACATCAAACTCCTATATACTGTACCATCTTGTCATTATTATTTTTGTAGTCATTAGACATTTCTATACTGCTTATTACTTCACAATCTGAGCTATCTTCATTTCTCAAATCCTTTAAATCCCATGTAAATCCTTCCCATTTAATCACTGAGTTCCATATTCCATTTTCCTCCAAAAATATTTAACCTACTTGTTTGAAATTTACTTTGTTATTGCATGTATTTCTGATTTCTCCATATCTTCTTGTTTCATTTGTTTGTCCTCTCTGGCATTTGTAATATCTCCCATTTTCATATTTTTTAATTTAAGTAATGTGCCATGAACTCCTCCTTCCAAGTCATTACTGAAGATATTAAAATAAAACTAGGTCTTGCTGTGTAATACTGGAGCATACTTTTCAGCTCAGTTCATGCCATCTATCATTATCCTATGTCTACATCCTTCAGCCAATTTTCAATATTTCTGACAGTGTTCTTGTTCAAGGCAATTTTATTCTTGTTTCACTAGTAGTATTTCAGGACACAATGTATCAAATGTTTTAGTAAAGAACCTGTATAGTGGGACCAACTTAAAGTAATTTTCCCTACTGAACTATCTTACTATATGTAATGTTTCACTACAATCGGAGTGATAGTTTGATTACTATCATAGATTTCAGCAATTTGGGACTGTCATTAACATAAGTTTAACTATATCCAAATTCACTAATGATAAAACTAACATACTTTGTTTACTGAACTCTAATTCTTCATTTTCATGTGATATTTTTAAAAACTAGTTTGTCTTGCATTCATTGCTGTTTGTACATTGATGATGTTTTATTGCTTACAGGTCTGTTATTCTCTATGGCCAAGATTTTAAAAAAATGGGTATATCCAGGAGAATTAATCTTAATTAATTTAAAGTATGAATTTCAAGTGGATTAGTTAAACCATAATAAATGTCTGTGTGAACAACCTCATACAGAATTAAAGAGGAGTTGCTTTAGTTTAATTACTTCTGGAATTAATTAAACAAAACTGAATTAAGGCAACTTTAGTTCTGAACAAGAGGGATTGAAACTAGTGGATTAACTAATCCACTTCAATTTCACACATTTACTTAATTCAGATCATTTTTCCTTGATGTTCCCATGTAGTCAAGCCCTTAAGTATATTCAGTCTGATGTAGGATCATTTCTTATTGCACCATACCTAAGGTTTAATTTAACAAAATTTTATAAGTCTCAAGAGATGGGTCTTCCATTATTTGAAGGCTGTTTTGCTGATTGATCCATTTAATTGTAAGAAAGTTTGCCATAATATATAGCCTTAATTTTACTGTTTGTTAGTTTCATGATTCTACTCGTTTAGCCATATTTGTTGTGCATACTCGTATACATATAAATCAATATATCATTCTCGGTCACTATTTACCTAAAATAAAATGTTTAAACTCTTAACTTTTCCACACAAGCCAGTTCCTCCAGGGTCTGATTATTTTTGTTGCTCTTCCCGCATTTTGTCAATATATTTTGATAATACCCGAAAAATAAACCATATAGAAAAGGATTATTAACTTCCTGTGATACCTTTGTAGCAGGAATCTCAAAATAGTGCTTTTTTTTAACATTTGTAGCTCACTATTTCTATATGACTGTTCTTTATATCTTGTTCAGCATTAGTATTTTCCTTCCAAATGTTTCACTCTTATTTCTTCAGAGGTATGTCTGCATTTTTTTCCAGGGTAAAAAGCTTCTTACTGAATTTTCTTCCCAAATTTCTAATCTCTCTGTGGGCCTTTATTTTATTTCTATATCTTGATTGTGATTCATATCTCCTAATTTCAGATGTATCAACTGTGAGTTTGAGTCCCTTTTCCAGATCAATAATTATGTTTAATAAGCTGTTTAACAAGGATAGATATAACACAGATCACTCTGGAAGACAACATATACTCTCTCTCTAGCTAAATACCTTGCCATTTATTGATATCTTTTGTTGATGGTCTTTCAGACAAGTTTCAATTTGCATGACACTGGTTACCAGTGATTACCACTGCCAAGGTAATTTCTATTCATTTTTCAAGGAAGATTGTGAAATACAGAATCAAATATTTTACTGAAACCTAAATATATTACACCTACTGTGTTTCTTTCATCTGCTATTTTTTTTATTTCTATCAAAAAAGCAAACAAGCTTGTCTGGTAAGATTTATGATTTACACTGCTTATTGTTGTTACACTCCTTCAGTCTTCAGTGTCTGTTCCAAATGCTTGTCGTATCGCCTTGATTTTTCTCTCCTATATTCTCACCATAGTATTTCATATTTATTCATTATTAAACTGTATCATGTTGGTTTTGTGAATATTTCTGACTCTACTATCAGGCCAGATCCTGAGAGGACCTGAATATCCTCAAGTCCCTGTGAAGTCATTCAAAGCTGAGGGGATTGAACCCCTCTTGGGCTCAGGTCCATACTGCTCCTTCATCTCTTGCTCAAGGTAACCATCAATAATAATATCTTGTGATTGATAACTGTATCACTTCTAGCTTTTGCTTATTCCCACAGTCCTTGTATAGTACAAAAACACTTACATTTCTTATGATATGACTCTCTTTATAGATCATTTCCATCCTTTCTATTTTCACATAGGAATCATATATTCACCGACCTAGCTTTTAATTTACCTAGCAAGCTCAGTTTAAATACATACATTTGTTAATTCTCCTAATTAAATGGAGATCTATTGCAGACAATCCCCTCTCATCAAAGAAAGCCTTGTAATGCTCTATGAAAACAAACTCCTTCTATGTGTTCCATCAGCTAGTCTCCAGAATCATTATTTGTAATGTAGCTGAAACAAGACACACTTTATAAGTCTATTCTGGACTCAGTTGAAGAAGGCCATGCATTACGGAGTAGATTTTCAATGGAGTTCATCCTCCACTAGCTCCCATTGAAACACCTTAATATATGGCCAGATTTTCAAAATTGTTCACACCCAGGAATTTCTTCATAAGCAATTATCTGTCCAGAGAACGGGACACTTCTGAAAACTAATCATTTCATTCAGGAATCTAAAGAGGGGTAGAGTAACTGTTTTGAAGATCTGTGATGCAACTCTAGCACTATTAAAATCAACTGGGATGTAACCATTGACTTCTGAGGAGTAGAATTTCGATCCTGGGCCAGATCAGTGGGGTGCTGTGGGTGTTTATTACTGTATTGGTATAAACTTCATTTTGAAGTGGGGTTGACCAAATCCCTGTTAAATGTATGTCTAGAGCATATGGAAGAGGGCAGATATTCTCAATTTATTTTCTTGTTTTACAGTTAAAAGCTGTTTAATTTTTCCATAGATTTTCAGAATCCTCCCCACATTATGCTGACTTCCCAGAGTTTCCTAACAAAATCCATTAAACAGATTTAAAAAAAAAACCTGTAGAAACTCCCAGCACTTCTGGAAACACTCAGCTCAGTAGACAGCCCTCTGTGTCCTTCTTCATCAACTTTTGTGAAATATAGCTTATTATTTACTATCTCTAGAGAACCTTTACATTTGTTTTAAACTTTTAACTTGTTATACTTAAAAAATCTTCTCTTTCATTTTTGGTACTTGTTCTATGGTTACATGTTGATTATTTATATATATTTCTGGTTATCCATAATCTGTAATCTCGCTATGGGTATGAATTGTATATCCAAATATTCAGAGCAAAATCCAAGTGCCTCTTAATTATAATAGTAGACATGTAGTTTCTACCCAGTTAATGAAGGCCATGCTAATATAACACATTAAACAAAACAAAATGCTTTAATTGTCCTAAGTAATACTTTATCTCTACTTACTAATTATGAATGAGCTCTTTATTTCCATCCTAATAAATGATGATGTTTTTGTAAGGTTGTTTATTAAAGGCTGCCTCCCTCTTAAGAATAGAAATTGCATCTCCATTCAGTGTGATATAATTGTAACACAGTATAAATAGCTTATTCATATAGGAAAAATATTTAAGTATTTACATAATACTTCATTTTACTTTCCAAATAAATAGACTGAACATCTCAAGTACCTTTTCAAGACCTTCCTCCTTGAGGCTGATCACATCTAAATCAAAATCTGTCCTTAAGCCATTGGTTTTGTTGAAAGTTATCCTGCCTGTGAGACCTTCCCAGTGGGCCTATGAAAGAAGAAAAATAATGTCCATAAATAAGAAATAAAAAAAAATATTTTCCACCAAAATGGGGACATTAATTATTCATTGCATTTAAATAATTTACCTTGTGGCTGATTTAAAAATAAAATTATTGCATCACCATAATAATTTCTGAAATTTACAGGGTTTTTCGTACTTGAACCAAACTTTCCTTAATCAGTGCAAACAATATCTTAACAGCCTTCTATATTAGCCAAAAAAAAAAAAAAAGGTTGGTCTTAGTATGATAAATGTCTGTTTTCATTAACTTTCATAAGAACATAACATAAGAACATAAGAACGGCCGTACTGGGTCAGACCAAAGGTCCTTCTAGCCCAGTATCCTGTCTACTGACAGTGGCCAGCACCAGGTGCCCCAGAGAGGGTGGACCGAAGACAATGATCAAGCGATTTGTCTCCTGCCATCTCTCTCCAGCCTCTGACAAACAGAGGCCAAGGACACCATTTTATCCCATTTATTTCCTCAAACATTTATAATTGCCATTTTTATTTCCCCATGCTATGGACTCGATTTGTTTAATTTCTACCATTTTACTTTTCTGCAGATCAGGTTGTGATGGTGTGAGGTGCTGAGCCTCAAATACTTTGGCAACAGCAGGCAGTGCCAGAGGTGCTGGAACAATTTTATAGCACAAATCCTAAGAGCCATTTAACCAAACTAAGCTCTGTATTTAAAGAAAACCACTTCAAGCAGCACTGCTATTTCCATCACCTATGACACTGAAGGCCTTGGGTCAGCACTCATCAGAAGTGAAGGCTTAATCTTAGAAAGCACAATGCCCTATTTTCTTGTGATTTAAAGATGACAATTTTTAAATGGTATAGCCAAATGATACCATTAATGGGTTCTGCAAAAATGGTAATTGTTAATAACTAAAAATAAGAAGCATATTACATTCCTAATAATTTCTCTTATAGTGAAAGTGTTAAAGAAAAAATGTCAGAACAGCAATATATGATCTTACACATAGGCATAGTTAAAAACAGAATTTTATTGCACCGCTGTATTTATCTTTACTACAGTATTTCCTATACTTACAATGGAAATTTCAGTACTAAGCATGTATAGGGCAACATATTAAAACAATGTACAGTGTTGACCCTCAATATCCTAAATTATGCATGACTGTATAAGTACTAACTTTTAAACACAAATCCAAGAGAAGTTATATTGAGGCAAAACACACAAATCAAAGACATTTAGGGAAGAAAATATTCAAGCCTATATTTTTGCATATTATCAGAGATGTTCTGAATAAATACTGAACAGAATAAAGAGGAAATGGCTGAGGTATAGGTTACGTGGGTAGTGGTGGACCAAGGAATAAAGGCTAGAATTTTGCTTTTAGAATTATTTGTTACTTATTTGCCTCTGTAATCATTTTGGCATCACAGACATTCCACAGTTATTTCATCTGTTTGCAGTCCAGTACTTTCACTTTTTTGTGTACTTTAAAATTGTTCCTGTATGATCAGCCATATGTGCAGCTTTAAATGTAAAAGCAGCTTTGACTGCAAGTCTCCCTCCACCCAACAAGCAGAAAGAGTCCTACCTGCTAAAAAAATAAATGTAAAGTAGACTGAGGATGGAGAAGGGGAAATAGCGTGGAGGGAGGGGAGATGAAACCAGAACATATCTAATTAATAGCATACCTCTTTAATGAGACTCATAAAGCGGGTCCCAAAGCGCCAGGGTTTGTGCCGATTACACTGTAATGAACTGACAGTCATCTGTGGGAACTGCTGGACAGCCACTGACACCACGTGAACTGCATCATACATTAAAGCTGCGTCAGTCTGAAATTAGATTGAAATCAATGCAGTGAACACAAAATTGAATGTGCATGGCAGAGAATAAAAAAAGAGAAAGAGAAAAAAAATCTATCCCACTGTTTGTTATAATACAAAAAAAAGAGCATGACTTCCTGTGCAGCACTGTAAAATGAAACATAGTTACCGAGTTCCTACATCAGAAATGTCAAGCTCTTCGGTTTTAGCTTTTCTTTTTTAAATCTGATATAAGGCCCCAGTTACATACTATCCTGGATCACTGCAGACTTCTGCCAAGTAAGATGACTTGTTTGCAATATTAAAAAACTGGTACCCGAGGGGGCTATATAAATCATACTATGCATGTATAAATCAATGAACACATTATTCTCTTGGGCAAGGAGAAAAATGAAAGATTACAAAGGCCTCAGCTAACAGGAACATGCACAGGCAGTGAAAATATTAATATTTTTTCTATTTTAGAATTACAAAGAAGATAGAGTCCCAAAGGTGCTCAGCACATTCACTAAACACTTTTTAGGAAATCTGTTTAATCCCGTAAGGTTGATTTGACCAATTTTTCCTATAAATAAGAGGCAATTCAGATTTACATTAAAATTCATATCCATTTTAATTGTTATCTTGTGTCCCTCCAAATAAATAGGCTGTTGAAATCCAGTAAATGCTAACCAACATTGTGCTAACTACTGTATTGAGCTAATCACTCAACCAATACTATATGCTCCACAAAGAAACCAAGATGTCTCTTCCATTTTGTTTGATAAATAGTGAGTGGCAAGTATTGCCACCAAAACTGAGACCAAGACTCAGAGTGAGCCAGAGGAAATGAACTCTGCTATCTGCTCACCATACCTAAAAGAGAAAAGGGCCTATTTCCTCTTCTTAGTCACATAATTAGTGAGCTGTGAAATGAGTTCTTTAATGGATAGGAAACCTAGAGCTTATTGCACTTGTCACAATACAATACAATGTAATATAAAATGAGTTTATATAGCGCCTTTCATGCAAATGCATCCCAGGGCGCTTTACCATATGCAAAAGAGCTATGCAGCTACAGCCCATAAGCCATGTTTATAGTGAAATAAGTCTCCTGAGGTGACATTTCAAAATCCAAATGGGAATAAATTCAGTTTTGAAATAGTCAGTACAATGGCTTCAGATGATTCAAGTAGCAACTAGGCTTTTACTAAGACTACAACTCAGACAAATAATACACAGATCCAAAATTGTTCACCCACCTAATAAAGCATGACAATATTTTTAAGGCCAAATTGATATCTGAGAAGAAGCCAATGTTCCTCCTACAGCCTGGAATACTATGCTAGGTTTGCTTTGTATAAGTTAAAGTTCTAGTGGCCATATCTTGCTTAAGTTGGAGCCATTCAATATTTTCTTAAGGAAACTGTAAAATAAGGTACTACACATGAGTCTGCCTCAGATTTCAAATCTATGTACTATAGTCTTCTTATAATCCTGTACTTTCATTCCAAATGTCTAACTAAATTCTTGTAACTATTGAAAGGAAATGCTAATCACACATGTCCCGTGGCAATCAGTAGTCAGAATGCTTCCACAATGATCATCACGATTTTTGCAAAAGCAGGAATAGCAACAATATTACTTAAAAGAGAGAGACAGCCAAATTCAACAAATCAGTTAATCCAAATGTAAATCATCTTCGTATTACATTTGTGCCAGCCCATTCATGAACAAATGTGTTTGGAGGAGGACAGTATATAGAGCACTCTCTCCTGTAGGAAAAGGGAGACAATGATAAGAGAAACAAGCCAGAGCCAGAACTAAAGGCCAGAGTCAGTTAAGAAAAGTGACCCTGTGAAGAGCGGGGAAAGAGCTCTGTGTGATTGGCAGAAATCCCACAGATAAATGTGAACCTTTGGACTGAAATAATGGATTTTACTGATGGGACTATTTGGAAGGCTTTCACAACAGTGAAAGGTAGTAGAAATCTTTAAGGGGACATGAAGAGGGAGAACAGTGAGAGACAATAATGTTCACAGTCCACAGATCAAGACAACAAGCAACTGATTATAGGGTCTTGAGTGTAAATATATTATTTGTTGTACAACCATAAAAGTACTAAAAGTCTGGAAAAATCATAAATTGCTAAGGGACATCGAGCCTTATAAAATTGCTCAGTGCTAACTGGCTTAATGAAGAATTGTTAGAAACAATTCAGTTACTAAAATTTAAGGGAGTCAAGTTAAAATTGTTTCAGAAGTAGGACTACATCCATTTTAAAAATTATCTTGTATGTAATGTGATGTTTCTTCCGTTTGCCCATTCTACACGAGGGTTTCAAAAGTGATATTAAGGCTTCATGTTTTACCCTTGACCTTTTCACGTTTACATAGATGTGGGTTTCCTATGATGTCGGCCTGTCACCAGTTTTGGAATCTGGTAGAGATTTTCCCACATGGTGAAATGGACAAGTTGATTTTTTTCCACCTCCCATCTGGCATCCAGGAGACCTGTTGGGGAGCTTCCAATGAAGCTTGTAGGTTATAAACATTCCATTTAATGGCCCTTAAATCCACTGAGTTTCCTAGGTACTTGCATGATATGGTAAAGGACATACAAATATCTGAGTAGTTCTTCTCCCTCTTGTATGGGGAAGCCTGGGAGCTTGACATCCAGAGTCTCTGGATGGACCTGATAGTGTAGAGGGCATGACCTTCCTCTAGCTCTCACCCTCAGGTATAGTACCTCAGGAGCCAGAGATAACAGCTGAGACCAGTGCTAGAACACTCTTACTGAGTACTTTTGGGTGTTAACTACTATTGGTTAAATAAATTGCAGCCTCCACATTTACCCACATTATGGTGCATATGTGGGCACAGAAACTGTGAGACATAAATAGCAACATAAATGTCTACATATCACTTTTTTCAAGTACAAGAAAGGTCAATGTACCCAATGAACTGTGTTACTTTGATTTAAACTTCATTATATTTCAGTTCTGATCTGGTTTTAAGATGCAAAAATGTACTTTACAATTTAGAAACATCTACCATATATGTATTATACAGCCATGAATAGCATTAATTCCTGACTAATGGAAGGGTTTTTCCTGATTCATTCTTCATTAAATAATTCGAAGGAAGAAGTACTGTTCCTCAGAGAGAAAATCCTATTTCAGTTTTTATTGTATAAATCCCAGCCTTCTTTAAACCCTAATCTAAAAAATTCTAAGTAATTTAGATTATATTCAGGCATAATTTGGAGAAATTCTTCACTGCTCAAAACCAGTTGATAAACAACAGATGGAAAGCAGGTAAACCAACAGGTTTTCAATTAAGTTTCATTTAATACAATTTTTTTTCTTAATTAATTTTTGCACTAATAAAAGCCTAGAGAAATATATGTCTTTCTGTGGAATATTTGGAATTAAGGCAGATCTCTAAATTGAGTGTTATAACAAATAATATAAAACCGATGGGATAGAAAGTCTTAATAACATTGGCCTTATTTGAATTTGATTGGTATTAACTGGTGATTTTACTGAGAGCTAGTTTATTTTCAGTAGCTCAGATAATTCATGTATTTCTAAGTCTGCAAGACACAGAGCTATGCTTGTTAAGTCCTTCCTTAGACAGGCAAATTTTTCAGTTAAGTCAGCATAATTTTCACTGCTTAACTGGAATGACAGATGTGGAGTTATAATTGTCAAAGCCCGGGTCTACATTAGGGAGGGTATGTCTACACTGCAAAGTTAATTCGAAATAACAACCGTTATTTTGAATTAACTTTAATAGCATCTATACATGATAAATTAATTTGAAATAGCGGAGTGCTTAATTCGAATTTGGTAAACCTCATTCTACGAGGAGTAACACCAAATTTGAAATAGCTATTTCAATTTAAGTTCTGTGTAGACACTTAATTCAAAATAGGGGGCCTCCAGCCCTTCCCAGGGAGCCCTGGTGGCCAATCTAGGCACAACCAGGAAAACTTACTCTCCTCTCCCCCAGCCCCGGAGCCATTAAAGGAGTAGACCCTGGCCACAGTGCCTGTGCCAGCTCCAAGCTGGCCAGCACAGAGCCCGCAGTGGCCACCGGGGCCCCTGATCCAGTGGCCCCAAAACATGGGCCAGAAAGTCTTCTGGAGCAGTCTGCCAGCTACCAGGAGCCTGCCAGGGCCCAGAGAAGGTGGGCACCTTCCTGGTCCAGGGTGAAGATCATGGACCTTATTCAGGTTTGGGAGGGATGCCCCCAACATCCATGATCTCTGCACTAGATGGAGGAATGCGGCCGTCTATGGCAAGATAGCTGCCGGCCTGGCCACCAAAGGCCACATGCGAACCCAGGAGCAGGTTTGCATGAAAATCAAGTTGGTCCAGTGAGACCCCCCAAACCTGGGTCCTGAGCTTCCCCTCCCCCTTCTTTCCCTTGCTTCCCCTGTCCAGCTCCCTCCTCCCAGGTTTTCCCCTCCCTCTTCCCCTCTCCCACCTCCTTTGCCCAGTCTCCCCAGAGGTTCATCCCCCCTCCCCAGGTTTGTTCAATACACCCAGTTTCTATTTTTGAACATACGTGTCTTTTGTTTGATATCAGGAAGGGGGGCTAGAGAGGCGTAAGTGGAAGGACGTGAGGGAGGACTGGGGCACGAGCCCCCAGTGGGGAGGACTGGGGTGGTTCTGAGGGCTCCTCCGGGTGGTCGCTCTCCCGCAGGGCCTCTTGGATCCTGACTGCCCCTCAATGGACCCCCCGGATGGCAGTCTGCAGCACGTGCAGCTGGACTGATGGCAACGACCCCACAAGATGCACCGGCATGCACAGGAGCAGCTCTAGCTCCATGTGGCCGAGTGCTGTCGTGTCCTGAGTGTGGGCACTCAGGGCACTCAAAGACAGGACTGCTTTGATGTCCCTCATCAAGGTAGACAAGAAAGCAGGGAACTCTGAGAACTGTCTGTCCGGGGTGGGGGTAGGGTCCCTTTAAGCACAGAGTTCAGTTAGCCTCAGGTAGCAGCCCCACACACTAAGTCCTAACCT